GCTAAATAAAAAATCGCACGATAATCAGATCGCAACGCTAATTTATAGTATGAAAATTGCAAACGCGGTTGATGTCCATTATATGTATAAAAGAGTAAAAAAGCAACGCGAATCGTGATTGTTCGCAACACTACCCTGAAAAGCAAACGCGAAAAATAGTATTCGCAACTCTACGAGCAATCGCGTTTATCAATAATTCGCAACGCTATTTTTAAGCAAACATTCGGTACCTAAGTTTGCACAGAAACAATCGCGAATCGTGTCTAGTCGCAACGCTACCCTGAAAAGGCAACGCGAAAAATAAGTAATTCGCAACTCTACAAGCAAACGCGATTATTGGATATTCGCAACTCTATGTATATCATAACCGCGAGTTATGGGGAGGATGGCTGGCATGTATGGTGCAATCATGTACCAAAGTACATGCATACGTGAGCCAGCCAGAAAAATAAACTAACTACAACTACAGACGAGTTAAGTGACAAAGTAGTAACAGGAATGACTTTCCATTCTCATCCGAAGATGAAGATGAAAAACCATTTGTTGTAGCCCACTCTTGAGACAGTTTGTCAGGGCCTCTTCAGCTCATTGAGAGCCTTTTCTTTCTTCGGCGGTCCTGCCGATGCCTGAAACTTACGTAAGACCGGGCTCGAGATTTTGTGCAATACGTAGTCTTCCAACAATATACGAATTGTTGCAAGAGCATACGTGGTGAATCTCGAGGGGGACGAACGTTTCGAAAGGGACCTAATCACGACCGCGAGCGCGAGAGAGCGACTTTAAGAGTCGCGCGATTCGAGGAGTCGAAAATAAAGCCGAAACAAACAGCACAAGTGCACCGTTTGAATCAGCAAGATTTCTACTCTCGAAATCGTAACTACAGGAACAGAACTGCCACGCGAAAACGCGCCTACCCGAATTACTAATGTGGACAGTCCTGCCCTGACCCTACCTACTTAGGTTTAAACACACACACCAGAGAATAGGTTACCTACCTACCTAACCCTATATTTAAAAAATTGCAAAACTCAATCATCCAAACAAACACTCCACGGTTCTCATTCTGAATGTCCGGGCGCGACCTAAACTAGAGAGGACTCCCCGGGGTTCCTCCGACACCCGGACATAACACTTCATTCACACTCTAATTGTGGACTTACTAGTTTCTGAGACTGACAAAGGCTAGTGATCTTTGCGTTCTTATATTATATAGATAAACGTTTGTATAGAACGTTTCAATATATGGAATATAGTCTTTAATAAAATCTATTGTATGGATGTATCATTCAAGATTGAAAAATATTAAGATTCAAATCCATTAAGATCAACAGTATTCAAATAAATGATAAATTGAAATTTGATATTATTATTGATAAAAATCTAATGTTATAAAATTCTGTATGTAAATTGCAATCATAAAACATCTGAAACGACGCACTTCCACAACCTAACCACACACACACATGTGGACAGTACGTCGCGCACGATTCACTAGCCAATGTCAGTCCTCAATATGTCGTTGAATTGTTATAAATAAATTCATCGTGCCCCGTTGCCTTCGCTCATGCAAATAGCACCTGGGCATGTGCATGAACTTAGGCAACGAACACGGAAAAATTAGTCTGAAAATCCTGACTAGAAAAACTGGTTAATAGCTAAACGGTATTTCGTATCTAATTGTTAGTTAAAATGACTCGACTTGTTATATGTAATATATCAATAATAAAATACGATAATATTGAAAAATACTACTATTCGATAAAACTATTATAATTGAAATTGAATTATTTAAAATGAAAGACTCTACTTGAGATTTCATGATAAAAGAATTTACTTTAAAAATTGAAATGAATTCATTAAATTGTCAATCAAAATATTCAATTATCCTTGATCGATTTTGTCGTCAAAGTAAACTTTTTAAAAGATGAAACTAGTATAAAATGCATGTTACTTTGACTCAAAAATCGACCTGTCGCGAAATGCCTTCTTGCACGTTAAATCGCATGATAAATATAATGTTTTCACATTATATTAATTCATTTTCTATTCAATCATACAACTCGTATAAAGTTAAGAAAAATATTTCATATATTCTATAAAGATTGTATATTTGTAAAAATTTTATAATAATCATAATGTGTACTATTCATTTGTAACATTAAGAAACGCGAGTGCAAGAAGACCCTAAAACCTGCTCTAAAAAATATAACAGTTGATGTTACTATTCACTTAACTCGTCAAAAATAGCAAGTATACAACTGGTCACCCGTGTTGATTCGGATCTTTCATCCTACAACATGGTTGGGGACCAGAGGAAACAAAATAGCATGCGACTTACCAGTGATGACTTGAAGTCCTCGAAATCATCCATCAGTCATCCATCAGTCAGCATGGTCCTGCTGGTTAGATTCAGGTCCAGAGACTGTAACAAAAATGCAAGAAAACAATTAGAATCGATTGTTAAAATTATAGAGATTTTTAATTAACAAATTTCAAAGTATAAATTTATACTTACGTTGTTCGCTCGTGGTCCACCGCCCGATACCCCCCGGGTACTGCTACTGGTTCCCAGGATCATGCTCAGAAACTGTAAGAAAACTGTAAGAAAACAATTAGAATCTATTGTCAAAACTGTAGAGATTTTTAATTAAAAATTTCAAAGTATAAATTTATACTTACATTGTTTGCTCGTGGAGCATCGCCCAATAGTCCTCTTCGGTGATGCACTGACTCTAATTCCGGTAACGAGGAGTTTAAATTTCAAATTGAAAAAATAATTAATTTGATTGGAAAGTATTAAATTAGATTACCGCGACCGAAGATTGAAAATCGGCGAACAAATGATTCTATTATCGCGATTCAGAAAACAAGGAGAGCCACGATGCTCTGGAAGTAATTTAATACTGCGTAAGAAACACTGCTTCTATTCTCGCGTTTGCCTAACATCGCGAACGACAACGTACCCGGGGTCACTTTGCCCCGAGAAACAAACTTGTTGCTACGCATACAATCACTGATTCTACCGGCCGCCTTGCGCGCGGCCAACAAATTTGCTGAAAAAAATGCTGAAAAGAAAGGTGGGATAGGATACAAGAAATACAACGTGCACACGTGTGCCTTTCCTATTGGTTTTTTTTTCTTCTTATTCGATGTTCGTCAACAGAAATACTGCTTTATTTAGAATTAGTAATTATTCAATTTATAAATGTAATATCACTAATTTTCACAGTTAGAATTGTAAGAATGATTATACTTGTTTTATCGAATGTTTGAATATATCGTAATATTTATAAATATTCCGAAATTTGCAAAAATTGAAGCTCGTTAATTATTCATACTTTAATAGCATATTCAAACTACGTAGTTTCTAAGTTTTCTTAAACTTGCATTGAAAATGTTTGCAAATTACAATTACAACAATTCATAAAGACAGATTTATAAACAATCAATTTAATAAATAATACGGCCGAAATACAGTTAAATATAAATCATTCCAATTTACCTTTAATGGCTACCGTTAGCCATTCCTAAGTATCATAAAATCGAAAGTACTTTGATAATATTGAAAAATGTAAAAAGTTCATTAACCATTTTCATGATTCATCTTAACACAGACCGATTATAAAATTATGTATCAAGAAATAACTTAATAGAAAATATATCAATATTAATATGTACATATGTTAATTTTTGTTATAATAGGTTAAACGTTACCAATATTCCCTTTGAAAGTCGAGTTATCTGCCATCTACCATGGTGTCGTTTAGGCGCCAATATTCCATGGCGTCGTATTTAAATCAGAGACTGCCACAGAAATAAAATACAAATTAAAGTCAAAATGCATTGCAGTAAGCATATCTAATCATAATTAAACAATAATTGGTGTACAAGATAGGTAATTTCGTTTAGGGAGATATAATGAATCGACGACGGTTAGATATCGAAAAAAACGCGCGAAACCCGATTCAGTTTTTGCCACAATTCCGACTCAATTTATAGCAGAAACGTATTAATATTACACAAAAATACCATTAATGAGTAAATGCGAGTAGTATTGATGACGAAATATGAACAGATTAAAGATACGTACCTTGTTGGTCGCGAAACGCCGGCACGTCTTGACATGTCTGAACATGTCTGAACATGTCTTACTAATGGCGCCCCCCTCGCTGTACCCAGCATCGCTCGCGAATTCGTTTGGGGGGGGTGAGGGAGGCTCCGATGTTTTCCGAAGCTTCTATTTCGAAAAGGAATTCCTTGACTTCGAATTCCAATAAAAGACTGTAACAGAAACAAAATAAAAATGCATTAAAGTACATGTACGATTGTTATAATTAAGTAATGATTAAATCCTAACCGTATTGCAAGAGATCGTAATTTAATTCAGAGAGACACATTAATAGTTAACACCGGTCGAATGTCAGAGAAAAAGTACGAAACCGATTCAAAATTTGTCACGATAAAATGTATTAATATTATGCGAAAGCGTCGATAAAGAGTAAACGAGATGATGAAATATCAACAGGTAAAAATACGCACCTCGTTGGTAGCTAAGAACGTCAACTCTCGATACATGTTATCGCGTTAATTTTCAGAGTACAAATGACGGCACCTCGCTGTGTTCGGTAACACTCGCGAATTAGGTAGAGGAGTGGGGGAGGCTCCGATGTCTCACGAAGCTTGTACTTCGGAAAGGATCAGGGATGTCTTAGGTAGAAACCGCGAATACAAAAAAAAGAACAAAGATGCCAAACATAATATTACAGGTTCAAATTGATTGATTAATTTGAAATTTATAATACATCATTAGAAGACATGCCTTTATAGCTGGAACTAAGGATATTAAAATCCGATATGTTATTCTATTCTTTCTCAATCTCAACGACGAAAAATCGAGGAAAAATTGATACTTCAAATTCAAAGATCTGCCAATTTCTAAAAAATTGAGATATTCAATTTTTTTTAATTTTGGCTATAACCTATAACTATAACTGCATCTTCACTACCAAGTCTGTGCTTATATACACCGTATATACCCTATACACCGTTTTCATAGTTGTAAAACGAAACAAGATTTTTCTTATTTTCATGAAGTAATAGAAAACATTTTATTTATTTCCGTGTTGTAAAGAGGTGAGATATAGTTGTATACACATAAAAAAAAAAAAGAGAACAGCCAAGGCAACCGAATAAAAACTCTAACCTTAAAAAACCTTTCGAGAATTACTCTTTTCAAAAAAACTGAATGCGTAGTTAATAATTTCAGCTTTACTGTTTATAACGTTTAATTTTAAAACTATCTAAAAAATATATAATTATGTCACATAAAATTATTTAAACGCTCTCGCAAAATTTTATCTACTCGTGCGATTAGAAAGGAATATATAATTCAAATTGAATGATGGAAATCGACAAACATGTTTTAGAAAAAGAACGAAAACCATTTACAACTAACAATTTATCATACCACGAAGAACAATTTGAATATAAGTATGTAGAAGAGTTATTCAACAAACGTTTTCTAATTGCACACAATGAATATTATTTGTTACCTGAATCAAAAGCACTGTTCAATGATTGTCTGTGGGAAATTGATAAATTACAAATATTAAAGCGCGAATTGAATGAGATAAAAAGTTATTTAAATAATTATGATCTTCACGAATGGCAAACACATACGTACCAAAGAAACAGTGCAAAAGATGTTCTTATACGTTTAAGAAGAGACATTCAACCAGAATTTTTAACTCAGGCATGGTGTAAATTCTATGAAATAGTGTCATCCTTTCCTTTAGTACCAATGAATCATATTGATAATAATAATAAACGTTTTAAGTCTGTTCATTTATGCGAAGCTCCAGGAGCTTTTGTTACATCTTTGAATCATTGGTTACAAACAAATGCACCTAGCATTGAGTGGGATTGGATTGCTACAACATTAAATCCATATTATGAGGGTAACTCATTATCCACAATGATTGATGATAATAGATTCATAAAGCATACATTGAATCATTGGTGTTTTGGAGAAGACAATACTGGAAACCTCATGGATTTAAAAAATTTAGACATGCTTGTAAAATTATCAGAACCACGTAGTGATGTATTTTTAGTTACTGCTGATGGCAGTATTGACTGTGTGGATGTTCCAGAGGATCAAGAAAATGTTGTAGCACATTTACATTTTTGCGAAACTGTAACTGCTTTGCATCTTTTAAATACTGGAGGTAGCTTTCTATTGAAGATGTTTACCATTTTTGAATGCCATTCAGTATGCCTGATTTATCTGTTATCTTGTTGTTTTGGTAACGTTAACATAGTTAAACCAGCAACAAGCAAAGAAGGGAATTCAGAAATTTACATTGTATGCACAGATTTTAAGGGGCAAACAGTTGTGTCACCATACTTAGAAAAGCTTAGAGAGCACTATGAATGTGGCTCCAAACAAGCAATGTTTAGTAAAGATGATCTTCCAAACACATTTATAGAAAGAATCATAGAATGCAGTGAATTTTTCAAGTCTCAACAATGTCTAATCATAATGAATAATATCACTACATTTAAATCAAATCATGCTACACTGTTAGTGAATATGAAACAAACTCAACATATGGTTGCTGATAAATATATGAAAGATTATAACGTAAAAAAGTTGATCTCTGGAGAAATTGTAGGAAAAACGTTATTGGAACCAAATAACAATATTAATGTATGTAATAGATCATTACAGGGATCTTACAATAAACGTCGCGAGCGACAACATTTAACACCATGGGAACAATTAAACAGCATTTTTAATGATTTTAAGAAAATACAAATTCATATATCACCTTCTGAAATTGTAGATGTAAGCTAATTTTTATAGTGTTTCTATACTATATCTTCGATTTAATTCAAATCCTGTTACATTATAAACTAAAATCAATTTTTTTTCTTTCCAGTTCAAGTTCAGTAAATTGCCAGAAAATTCACAAATCGTTTTAGGAAAAATATTTCATAAAGTATATAGTTCAAAATTTTGCAATCGAAACGTCTTAAAAATACAAAATAGCGTTGACGACATTCTTAGTAATATGGAATGCAAAATACAATTTCCGTCCATAAAAAACGTGAACAAATTTAAAAAAAGAATACGTAAACCGATCTATAAAATTTTAAGTTTTCATTATACAGACATTTATGATAGTCACGAAGTAATTACTAAAATTTGTGATGCACTACAAGATCTCACTAATGAAAGTACTTTGATTTTAATTGGCTATTCATTATTGACTCACCTTAATGTTGGGCTTCTTTACCTCATAAGTTGTGCTTTTAATTCAGTTAAACTAAAACCTTGTAATAGTATTGGATTAAAAATTACTTTGAGCCATTACAATTACGATTCGAAAATATTGAAACAGTTACTCGATATTAAAACCGTTTCTTCTAATGCTCAGGAAAGGGGATATGCTATTTTAGAAATAATTGATGCATCATTTTTATATGGTAAGAAACGATTATCTATTCCGGTTATATTTGTATGACATATTTGACTGTGATGTTTTCTTCTTTTTTTAGAATCTGATTTATTCTTCACAATAATGGATATTAATCATTGGATTATCAGATTATTTGTTCGTCATCTTTTATATACACTACAAGAAAATGTTCAACATTAAAAGTAACATTTTTTCTATAATGTATAGGTGATCAAAATTGTACCAATACTTCTGGTATAATAAATTATAATTACGTATTTATAAATGGTGTATCTCTTACTTATATTTATGATATGATAAATAATAGACCGAGTATATTCTCTAAAATAAAGCCTTACAGGGAAAAGATGTTCATGGGGACCACTCTATACCCACTAACATTACATCTTGTGAAGTAGACACCCTCTACATAAATTTTGCGAAGAATTATTTTTTTGTAAGAAAATTAATTTAGTTATTTCTTAATTGTTTAATGTGAAATGATAAATATTTGCAAAATGTATTTAGAAATAATTGTTCTTGGCTGTCTTCTTTTTTAATTTGTTCTTTTTTTATATTTATAGAGTTCAAGTAAGCAATAATAAAAATGTAATTTTAATTTGCAATGTATCGTTTTAGATCAATGCAAGTAATTACCATGAAAGTAGGTACAATATGTAATTATATTCGTTTATTTTCAACTGAACATATTGTACCAAAAATTTGCATTGTTGGTGCAGGACCAGCAGGATTTTATGCTGCGCAACACTTACTAAAGGTGTGTAGAGTATTGAATATATATGGAGTAATATTATAACAATGATTTGGTATAGACTTCCAGCAATATAAATGTGGATATATTGGAAAAATTCCCAGTACCGTTTGGTTTAGTACGTTTTGGCGTAGCTCCTGATCATCCAGAAGTGAAAAATGTTATTCACACTTTTGAAAAAACTGCGTCTAATCCACGTTTTCAATTTATAGGAAATGTTAACGTAGGAAAAGATGTCACTGTAAAGCAGTTACAAGAAATTTACCATGTAGTTTTGCTGGTATGCATGATACAAATTTATTTTATTTTGCTTAATGTATCACTAAACATTAACACGTTCGTCGCCCATATTTGGGTTACCGTTCCACGGAAGTATACCCGTCACCCACATCTGGGTGACGCGGCGACGAACGTGTTAATGGTCATCATTGTCTAATATTGTAGACGTATGGTGCAGAAGAAGACAAATTACTTAACATACCTGGAGAAAATTTAACTAATGTAGTATCTGGACGACGTTTTATTGGTTGGTATAATGGAGTGCCACACGATAGTAATTTAAACATTAATTTAAATGTGGATGAAGTAGTTGTGGTAGGGCAAGGCAATGTTGCTATAGATGTTGCAAGAATTCTGTTATCGCCAATAGATAGATTAAAGGTATATTTTCAATTTCTAATCAAATAAAATTTCTAATAAAATTTTTTATGTATCCTCTATTTCATTGTTTTAGAATACTGATATAACATCATTTGCCTTAGAACGATTGTCACAAAGTAAAGTGCGTAAAGTATCGTTGATAGGAAGAAGAGGACCATTACAAGCTACTTTTACAATTTCTGAACTACGCGAAATATTAAAGTTGCCTGGCTGTAGAACATACTGGCACCCAACTGATTTTGTAAATGTAAAGAACGTAGTTAACACGTTAGCCAGACCACAGAAAAGATTGACTGAACTTATGTTAAAGTATTTAGAAGAAACACCTGAAAATACAGCAATAAATGTAAAAGAATTACATCCAATCTTTTTAAGAAGTCCTGTGGAATTTTTGGGTTCCGATAGTGTAAAAGGTATTAAACTAACGGTAAATCGCCTTGAAGGAGATGATATATCTAAACAAATCGGAGTACCGACTGGATCTTTTGATGAAATGTCATGTGGTCTAGCATTTCGTTGTATTGGTTATAAATCTCCTCAGATAGATGCATCAATACCATTTGATACCAAACTTGGTCGCGTAAAAAATTCAATAGGCAAAGTCAAAGATAATCTTTATACTGCAGGTTGGGCTGCAACAGGCCCTAGAGGAGTTATATTATCAACTATGTCGAATGCGTTTCAAGTTGCCGAATTAATAATTAAAGAGCTATCAGTTACAGACAACAAACCAGGTTCGATAGATTTGTACAAAATTCTTGGTCAAAAAGGTGTACCTACAGTATCGTACAGTGATTGGAAGAAAATTGATGAAGTAGAATGTAAGAAAGGAAAGGAATTGGGAAAACCAAGAGAAAAAATAGTTGATATTAATGAAATGTTAGACATTGTTTTTAAAAAATAAAAATACAAAGGATGTATCAGAAGAATTCAAATAAATTTACACTTTTTCAAAATTTAATGTACTTCGATTAAAAACATTAAAAAAGTAAATATCAAAAATAAACTATTTATTCGATAATTAAAAAAACAATAAAACTGATTTATAAACTGAGATTGGATTTTACAAAATCTTTTTGATTATTTAACGGGGCGTCAGCTGCCGTTAGCATACTTTTTAGGGAGACCAGGAATTTCCTCGAGCTCTTAATTTTTCCCTAGGAAAACCGAATGCGAGCGCCTCTATACTACAGCTACCATAACTGCACACGGTTATCATAAACCGATTACTGAAGAGTGAAGACGTCATCTATAAACTGACAGTTATCTGTACCGATATCATAAACAGAGTAAACATAACAATTGTGCACGATGATTTGCGATGGTGTAATGCATAATATTAAAATTTTTTAAATCGACAACATTTAAAAACTTATGCTACATTATAAAATACATTAAACTAAAAATTGTATTCCATTTCTGTAGTATAAAAACAACCGTTCATTTCAAAATAAAATATAATTAATGAAACTTTTATTGAACAATTACATAATAAATTTGTTTTTATCATAACAGATAATACACAGATTTTTAAATAAAAAAATACTTGACTTACAAATTTTTTAAAGCATTAAATTTAATACAAGTCTTTATAAAATAATAATATGAACTTGCGAGAACCAAAGAAAAAACGACACGTGAAATTAAAAGAGGGCCCACCATTTCCAATTGTAATAGGCGATCAAAATGAATGGGTGACTTATACTGCTCACCTTACAGATTTAGGGTCATGCATAGTCGATCCGAATGAAATTGCTGCAGTACATTCTATGGTAAGTGTAGTTTAAAAATATATATTCCATGTGTAACAATAACAAATGTGTGTATATGTATACATATAATTGATTCATTAATTTTATTTGTATAGGGTTTTTTTGGCAAAGGTACATTGTCACGTGGATTTCCTTCTTTTGGAAAAGCACGATATGGAGCACCTCCTGTTATAAGAAATAGACAATGGACTCGTAGACAAGAATGGTTAAAGCAGTTTAACGAACTTAGTATGGAACCCGCTAATAGTAAATATATAAATTCAGCAGAAAGTAAATACGAATTTCCTCATGTCAAAGACTTTGAAGATGATGAAAAGACATCAAAGAGCCCAGAAAAAGAAAATACACTAGAAATAATTGAAATAGATACAAATACTGCTCCTTCGAACAAAAATTTAAAAAAGACCCAACTAACCAATAAAGAGATAGAAGTTAGCGAACTAAATCCTGATTTAACACAAAAAGATGATGCGTGCATTATTATAAGTAATGATTGTAACAAACAATCTCAGAATAGTAAAAGTAAAAATAAAGAATGCATAGAAAGTGAAGAGTCTTATTGCTTTGAAGATTTTAATTTTAAAGAAGATAATGTATGTTTTATTAACAATGATACAGACATCCAAAACAAATTACTTGTTTTACCAAACAGCGACTCCGAAACTGAGAATTATTTAAAAGAAATAAAACCGAAAATTGAATGTGGAAGTTTTCCAGTACAAGAAACTCTTCATCTCACATTTGAAGAAACATTCTTCCTTTTGTACGGCTTAGGTTGTTTAAATTTAATAGACTTTGATGGTAATTTATTAGACATTGATAGTGCCTGGAATTTATTTTGCAAAGTTGATAAAAATTTTGTGCAAAAATATGTTGTATATCATTATTTTCGAAGCAAAGGATGGGTAGTAAAACCAGGACTTAAATATGGTGGAGACTTTTGTTAGTATTACTTATTATTAGTATTATTTAAAATCTATTAGTATTAATGATTTCTCATTCTTTAGTGTTGTATAAACAAGGACCGCCGTTTTATCACGCGTCATATATCGTCATAGTAGACGTTTTGGACAGTGATTCGTTAATCAGAAACGAAAATAAATCTATGCACAAATCAACATGGAATAATTTATTAGGTCTAGATAGACTGTCAGAAACTGCTGCAAAGGTAATTTACATATATTACTTATCTTTCAATTTGTTTTTACATTATAGATTACATAAATTCTATTTTATATTTTGTATTTAGGAAATATTATTTGCTCAAGTTTTATGGCCATCTTCAGTTTCTCATACTTCTAATATGTTTAATGTAGAAATCTTGTCAGAATTTTCTGTAAGAGAATTATTGTGGAGAAGGTGGAATCCAAAACATAACAGAGATATAGAAGAGGAAGATGATGACTCGTGTTAACTTTTTTGTAACATATTTATTAAATTTGCAAATAAATGTACATGTACTGAAAATAATAAATTCTATTTGTTTTACTAAATCATATTTTCCTGTGTTACATTTCATAAAGATTTATGATGCTTTTTTAATATTTCCATTATTATGAATAACAAAAATTTATGAAGACTGCATTCTTTTTAGTTTGTTATTCAATCCTACCCCAGTCCTTCGAAATTCACTTCTTTCATGTAAATACTCTTGTGTACATTGTTCCCTAAATTGTTCATCGGTGTACCACTTTGTTAAACATGCTTTTAAAGCAGTATTCTCTTCTCTGCATTTATAAACCATTGCAAAACTAGCATCTTTACAACACTTTGAGAACTCTACAAATCAGATATGTGCAAAAAAATATTACACAAATGTTCAACTATATATAATAATATTTGTAACACGTATCAACACTACCTTTAACTTCTTTAACACACTTTTCCTCTCTTGCCTTATTTCTCATTTTTTGCGGTATAAGTACATCTTTTTCTACCTTTCTTAAAGATTTATCATTGGGATCGCCTATAAAACATATTTAACTCATTCCACGTCTGATCAATTACTGTTTTAGTCAATGTAAGGAATTGTGTTACAATTGAAATATCAAATTTTTTCAAGAAATATAAATGAAGAGAATTTCTATAAGCAAATAGCAATTCGAAATTTGCAAAATAAGGAGTTATTTATAGTTTTTAATCCAACAGAAAATTTAGAATAAGACCAATCTTTGTTGATGAAAACATTTTCGTCGGCATCATTTGTACCTCTTTTTGCTTAAATTATCAAAAATTTCAATATTCAAGCGTTAATAAATTAGCATGTTGATAAAAGCGGTTAAGATTTAATTTCATAACCTCATTTTATTCTAACTATTTTTCATTCTATACGTTTTTAGATTTTACCAGAATCTTCCTAAAATTAATTTAATTTACATTTTTAGAGATTACCTAAATTATGTGGTCCTCCTCCTAATTTCGCCGGAAGTACTGAATATTTCACATCCCCAGGCATTTTTGCATTAAAAGTACAACCATTGGAAATTATATGAACGTCAGTCACTCTCTATTGCTTCCTATAGGCTGCGCTCGTGAGTGTGCACATTTGAGAGTTGTCAATTGCATTGCATGTGAAAATAATGCTTATTTAATACTACGAATGAACGATAAATTATAATATTTTCTGAACTAATTGTGAACTTATTTAATAGGTAAGCAAATAAATAGCATTATTTAAACGATTTAAAATAATACCGTTCCACTTTTGGTGCTTTGTTGATAAGCTTAACCTCAACCAAAATCTATCTGTATTAAATACAATTTAATAATTAGCGCGTCTTCTATTTTTAATATACAATTAAGTGTATATTTGATGCTTTTAGAAACCTTTGAAAAATAAATAAATATGGACCGACTTTTGAGATTAGGAGGTATGCCAGGTATGAACCAAGGACCTCCAACTTCAGATGCCCCCGTTGTTGATACTGCAGAGCAGGTAAAATGTATATAATTTTGTTCCTACTAACAAGGGAAGGCTTCCATACCAGGAAACCAATTTTTAATCGATATTAAGTAAATATTGTGGTATATACCTAGTATAAGAAAATCAGAAGACTTTCATCGAATAAGCATCCATTTTAAAAATTTAATTATTCAAACTCATATGTAGGATATAACTTGGTTGTGTGAAATTTATTAACAGGAAGAAATACGAGTATGGTGGGAAAATAATTAATTACAATCCCATAGTCCCAAGTTCAAATAAGTTTTTACATTCATGTTTTCTTTTTAAATTTTTTCTTTGCATTCTTAGATTGATTTGTTTCCAATGCCTTTATGATAGTTATCATCTTAGTTATTGTATATAGTACAATAACAGATATGTATAAAAGTATAATGTATTATTGTATGCATATCATAAATGCACTTGTGACCATAATATTAATGTTAAAAAAACAAAGAATTTTACTCTAAAGAGAAATTGAATTATACTAAAAGAAAATGGTAAATCTGCACAAATATTCCCATTGCAGAAACTGAGCCCAATTGACCCAGGCCTAGTATGGCAAAGATTAAAGTTATTTACTGTAGTAATATAGTAATTTATATTTGTGAATAAATGAATGACATGCTATTACCATTAATATTATCAGGTGTACATATCATCGTTAGCGCTTTTAAAAATGCTTAAACACGGACGTGCTGGTGTACCTATGGAAGTAATGGGTTTGATGCTTGGAGAATTTGTCGACGATTATACCGTTCGTGTTATCGATGTGTTTGCAATGCCTCAAACGGGAACTGTAAGATCGAGAATCTTTTTACAATATATATGAACCCTTAGCGGACGTTAGTGGAATACAGAAAATTAACTTGTATTTAAATTTTATCTTCGTTTAACAATAAAAATATATTGTCTAGTATATGGAGTCCGCGAAGTGTTAATATTATATTTTTCGTAGCATTTTGTTTATTAGTATTGTTCAATCAGGGAGTCAGCGTGGAAGCAGTTGATCCAGTATTTCAAGCAAAAATGTTAGACATGCTTAAACAAACTGGACGACCGGAAATGGTTGTCGGGTGGTACCATTCCCATCCAGGATTTGGTTGCTGGCTGTCTGGCGTCGATATTAACACGCAACAATCATTCGAGGCTCTTAGCGAAAGAGCAGTTGCTGTCGTTATCGATCCGATACAGTCTGTGAAAGGAAAAGTTGTTATCGATGCATTTAGATTAATTAATCCAAACATGATGGTAAATACATATAAAAAAAATATTGCCTCAAATTAATGTACATATAGGGTATCGATTTTAATTTTTCCATACCGTCATCTCAAATCGGGCTTACTTTGTTTCAATCACTAAATTTGGAGGGAATTCTATAAAATGATTAAAATGGAACTCTGGATATATGTTTGTCGCGTAAAATTGCAGGTTTTGGGCCAAGAACCCCGCCAAACTACATCGAATTTAGGTCATCTACAAAAACCATCTGTTCAAGCCTTGATTCATGGCTTAAATCGTCATTATTACAGCATTAGCATAAACTATCGCAAAAATGAATTAGAACAGAAAATGCTATTAAATTTACATAAAAAGACATGGATGGATGGTCTTACCCTTGCTGAATATTCGGAACACAGTAGGCTGAATGAAAATATTGTATCAGAGATGCTTGAACTTGCGAAAAATTATAACAAGGTAGTGTATTCAAATACAGTATCAAGAAACTATTTTAAGAATAAAATTAAATTTCCCGAATAAATATAATAATTCGAGAATTTGTTTTTACAGGCATTGGAAGACGAAGAGAAAATGACACCCGAACAATTAGCTATAAAAAATGTGGGCAAACAAGATCCAAAACGGCATTTAGAAGAAAAAGTGGACACACTTATGGCTACAAATATTGTTCAATGTCTGGGAGCTATGCTCGATACAGTTGTATTTAAATAACTATTTCTTTAAACACAATTTGCACTATGTTATTAAAAATATATACATCTTTCTAAAATGTGTGTTCATAATTTATACCCAAAAATAGTGCATATAATGCACAAATTATTTTCACTATATTTTTAAACATTTCATTTTTTTATACCCATATTTAAAAAATAATACTAAAATGCGTACAAGTAGGTTTGTATTTATTTAAAGTGTATTTATAAATTTGGTAGGTATTTAGACATTACATGACTTATAGTCTGTTAAAAAGTGAATGAAACATGGGTGTCTGGAAAAAGAGATGAAATAGTGTACGAAGATAACGTTACGTGACACAGAATAAAAATACTGTTCACTGTTACGCGATCTTAGTAATGTGAACTAAATATTAGTATTGTCGTAAACAAATTATAAAAGAATATTTGTTTACATTCTCGAGTAGAAATAATTCGCTATGTACATTTGCTGATACAAAATATCGTACCATATACTTTTATTATTTATGAAATTGATGGAACTTAACCTCTAACAGTAATTTTTATTTCATACCTATTTTACTATTAGTAAAAGATGATACAGCATTACTGCAGGTTAAATTTGAGAACACAATCTAAAAAATTACTAAATGCAAATTGTCTTCAATCACGAACTGTACAAGTCTACAGAACATAAAATATCTCTCATTTAATACGACGAATAATATATATATATATATATATATATATATATACGAATCAGATGTTTCCTTTTTACAAATTAAAAATTATAAAATAAGATATATTTTCTCAAAATTGTTGTTATAGAAGAGTTACGTTCTCTTGTATGAAATGTCGTACTTTTTCCTTCACATTTACGGATAGATTATCATATTCTTTTAACAAGTACGTTAAAAGTACGTTTTTAAAAAAAACGTTTTCAACTAGATGTTGGTGCTTCTTGATCTTGATTTTTATCTTTCTTTTTCTTTTTTTTCTTTTCCTTAACTGGTGTTTCCTGTAAATAGAAATATTTTCGCTATAAGCGTGTTCACCGTCGAGATGCTCTCGCCAAAACAGTGTACATATAAATTGCGTGCGGAGAGTCATCTCATCAGCGATCGAATTTACATGTACAGTAGTGCCCACTTAAGTAAATAAACTATTACGTTTGTTGAGGTTACATTTATAATTCCTTATAATAATACTCCTAGCATCTTCGTGTATCTTACTCTGATGTACAATATCAGTGGTGACGGACAGCGGTTTTCGCGTGATACGTGCGGGCCATTAAAGTGTTAAGTTATTTTAGTTTGTGGTTACTTCTCAGAATTCAACGGAGATAAGTAAAGAAGACAAGTGCAAGTGAGATACAATAGCTGCCACACGAAACCATATAAACAATGTATCGATAACGACCGGCGTCAAGTTACGCTCGATGTTCGAAGCCGCTTAGCTTCCAAGAATTGATAGAGATAACCGCGAGCACTATTGTAACTTCTAAAAAAGCTGTTTTGACTCTCAAGACTATTTCCTTTGGCATTACTAGACTACCTTGTCCGTAAAAAACAAATGATGCCGGATAAAACATTTGAACTTGAATACAATGAGCTCAAGAAAATAAATAGAGCATTTAACATAACTGGAAATTATTGTCGCCCGTCGTAGCGAAAGGATTAAATATCATCTTACCTGAGTTTCGGTTTCCACTACCATTGAATTATCAGCTTCGGATTCAGTTGCCTCTTTCTTTTTCTTCTTCTTCTTCTCTTTTTTCTCCTTCTTTTTCTCTTTCGGTGATACTGTTTCTGGATCTTCAGGCTGTTCTTCTTTTATTGGAACATCTGTTTCAGATTGTGAAACAACAGTCTCTTGCCATTTACGCTTTTGTGCCGTAGCTGCAGCAACAGTACCATTTTCCTCGGTCTATTAAATAAACAAAACTCGAATAAATCAATTTTGTAACAACACTACGTCTATATAAATTAATAAAGACATTAATTAGAACATTTATGATGTACGTAAGATGGAAATTGAATGCCTACCTTTACTGTAACTGTAGAATAGTCTGCATAGCTCGTCAACCAATCGGCGGGTGTATTTTCATTCGGCTTTCCATATTTATCTAATTTTCCTTCAATTATCATGCGTTTTTTTACAGAAGCTTTTGGTCCCAAACCCCATTTCCTTGGATATGCATCTCTTTCCATGATTACTCTCTTTATTTTTGCAGCTATACCATGATCACAAGCTGTCATTGTAGGGGACGTCATTAAAGCTATACCTATAATAGTAAAAAGAAACTTGTAAGCACAATTATCCCAAATTACTTAGTTATTCTATAGAAATGAAAGTAAACTGAAAGCTGAAGAAATAGAATACTAATAAACGTTACAACGTCCGTCGCAGAAATACATTGTCATATATTAAGAGACCACACGATGTGCATTGATTTTGAGAAATGCAGCAGGTCACACACGAGCGTCGATTTGCCATAACGGCCATTGAAATCGACGTCCGTCGCAACGCACGTCGTTTTAACGCTCGTGTGCCCCCGGGCTTGAACTAATGCTATAATGTGTGGCAGTGCTATACTACTTTGAAAATTTATTTACCAAGTGCTATAGCTTCGCCTTTTGTAGTTACTATTACAATTTCCTGGTTCAGTTCTATACCATCATCATACATCAGAATACCTGGCAGCATAATTTTAGCCCCATAACAAATAGCATTTACCTATCAATATAATTATGTAGCATTGTAAAAGAATGTTTCTTCGTTTATAAAATTGTTTAAAAATATTATTAATACATACTGCACTATCTTTTACGATAATTCTCTTGTGTTTTACAAGAAGAGCTTCCAGAGGTTTAATTACTCTTCTTAAATACGATTCATCTCCATGATTTTCATACAACCATTGAGCATCAAGTATATCATGCATAGTAACCATTCCATCTTTCTCGGATTGCACGCCCGAACGATTTCTACGTAGCTCTTGCATTTGACAACCAGTGCCTAAGAAGAGACCGAGATGAACGCAAATAGTTCTAATGTAAGAGCCAGCCTCACAACTAACTCTAAACACTCCCATATTCCGTTCCTCGTCGTAGTCAAGGAACCAACTGTCATATACTGTTCTGACACGAAGTTGGCGCTTCACCGCAGATATAAGCGGAGGCCGTTGAAACAGAGCACCGCGTAATTTTTCCAATGCTTGATTTACCTATGTTGTTTCATTATTACGATTAGTATATCAACTTATGGTCAAACTAATCTCAGCTAAATGAACGTTACATTTACCTTTTGAATACTTTCAGGAGCAGAATGTAGTTTGAAGACTGCAACGTATTCTTTACCAGCAGTCTGTTGCGATTTAGCTAATCTAGTTGCTCTATCGATACATACTATTAAGCAACCAGATACCTTAGGATCTAAAGTACCAGAGTGTCCGGTCTTTTCTACTTTCAAAATTCTCTTTATCCATGCTACAACTTCGTGCGAGGATGGATTGCACGGTTTATCCAAATTAATACAACCAGATTTTACATATTCAGATAACGTACGATGCAATGGAGTCGAGCCACTGGTTAAAGGGGTGAAATGTTTTGTACGAGTAAGCATTTTATCAAAATTCTGAAATAATATTAAGCGTTTTCAATCATAATTACGAGAGAACATTATTTCCTTTGATCAAAAAATGCTATGTACCTTAAACAGAAGAGGCCAGTCTTTGTATTCAAGCTTTACAAGTTCACTGGAGGGTTCAAGCTGACACTTCATTGCCGCTTGTATTTCTCCAAGCGATTTCTTCTTACTCTTTTTCTTACTTTTATCTATTTAAAAAAATAATAAAAATTAACCTATGTATTCGTAACAATTTTAATCGTAGACATCGTAATTTCAAGACACAATAATCATGCACGCGCGTGGAAAATTAATTTTAATATAAGACAAATGCGGGAAATACGTACAATACATTGTACTTAAAGTAATATATTCAATCGGGATTTTTATTGCTCATAAAAACACGTGTTTACCGCTAGACATCTAACCAATATTTATAACAGTTGGTGACTATCTTTATCGGTTCTTATGCATGTAATAAGAATCCTGATCTGAATTAACGACTATAACATAACATCTAGCGTATTGAATAATATAAAACACAAATAAAATTAATAACAATTACCACTGTCAGCCATTTTTAAGCAGGTAGAAACAACACGTGTATCTTAACGAACCAATGCTACATCAAACACGCGGGAGCATAGCCTATGCGTCCTCCTACATGCAAGTCCATGAACAAAGTGAGGTATAGAATCTATACTATAGATCAGATATGATGTACGATATTTTAAACACATAGAAAATATCTTAAAAGTAAAACGGATTTTTCTATATATGAATATTCGAAGACTTCAATGATTCAAATACTTAGCGAATATAATTCGAATATTTTATGCACTAATCACATATCTAATAGTATTTAACTCTTGCCCGACTAGTTCATTTTTATTCAGTGTTGGCACACTGCATTACTTGAGATCACATGACCATAAATAACTATAAATCATATTCTTTAAGTCCACCGAGTTTTATTAATCTTTATTTTCATGTATAGTATTTTGTTAATAATATTCTATAAATCATTTCTATTTTAATCACGGGAAGTTAATGTATTTACAATTATCAGCCGTAAGGAGCTTCATTTTGCAGTCACTATATTTTCAGTTAAATATCTAGAAGCATTTCTCGTTTAATTTTTACCATTTCGAGTCAGACTAGCAATGCATATTCAAATATCTTTAAATATTAAATAAAATGCGATATAATAAATCTAGTAAACCAAATAATTAAGTTGTATACTGATAGTATAAAATGATTGTAATGGAATTTAATTTTTAACCAACATAAAGGTATATGATCGAAACCCTAGAAATACATCGATCACTTTCAAATTCGACTGCAGCTTCCCTCCAATTCCCAGAGTGTTGTTGTTTGTGTTTTAAATTCTGCGTTACAATTTCATACACTCGTCGAGTAAAAGGTGTAGCACGATTTATGCGGTTATTTAATTCTAATTTACTTAAGACATTTTATAAATCCCTGTGATGAATTGTAACCGTTTAATATCGATATTTCCCGTATTTACTGTAATGATTCTCTTGCATTCGGTATCGTGAACAGCACGCTTTCGTCTAGCGTTGATGCAAAGTAACAAGGGGTAGAATAAGTACGATAAATGTAAAAAATATTCCCATGCCGAGAATTACCGCAATATGTTCGTGGAAAACTTAGAAAGAAGTTTCTATCGTTCGATAAGGGACGACGTAAGTTACATTTTTAACTTTCTGCACACGAGAAGTTCTGATATGTTTATATAGGTTAAACAATATTACTTGTCATTTTTAAACAATTACACGATTTTACTTTTTATTTACCTTCAAATTATTGTTATATTTTTTAGTTCGTACGTAAGAAATTAATTGTAAAAATGATAAAATTTGAATAGAATAGAACAAATAATTGTTTATTACAGAGATGCCTACTACTTGTTAACTTTGATGTCGATGCCATTTGTGCCTGCAGAATTTTGCAACAGCTTTTTAAAAATGATAACATGATATATACTCTAGTACCTGTACAAGGTATACAGGATATGGTTCGTGCCTTTAATGAAAATTGCGAAGAGGTAACAAACATTTTATACACATACAAGTCAATACTTATGCACTAGAATTAATTATTAACTGTTGCAATTTGTTTAGATAAAAAATGTTATCTTGATAAATTGTGGCGGTACATTAGACTTAGTGGAATTGCTACAACCTGCAGAATCTGTGATATTTTATATTCTTGATAGTCATAGACCTTATGATTTATGTAACATATATTCGGAAAGTCAAGTACGTATACTTGGTAAAGCCGACGAAGATGAGGAGATTCCAGAATACAAGGAAGTTTTCAGAGATGATTCGGTAAACATTTCATATTTTTTATGAACATAAATATTGAAAAAAAAAAGATTACACTTTATAATCTTTAGTCTGACGAGGATGATACAGATGAAGAGTTAGAAAATGATGAATCTCAGACAAAAAGACGAAGATTAAACGAGGATGATATTATTAAAAAAGCAGAGCGAAGACAGTGGTCAGAAAACAGGGCAACTATTTTATTCAATTATACACAGTACAGCTACTATGGCAAATCGGTAAACATCGTATTAAAATGGATAACCGATACGCGAATTCCTAAATATGCGCGACATCGATTAAAAATTAAAAAATTTTTTTTGTTTCTTTACAGAGTGCAATGCTTGTTTTTGAAATGGCCTGGCACATGTCAAAAGACAATTTAGATATGGTTTGGTGGGCTATAGTTGGTTGTACCGAACAAGCCATTCTTAATAAGGTAGAATCGCGGTTGAGCGTTCTTGACGAAGGTGCTCTTCAATCTCACGTATCCCGATTAACGCACAAGCAAGGAGGCGAAGTCGATGCAGAGCAGCAACAACAGCAGAGTATAATCCGAATCACTTATGCTAAAGAGTATCCTTCATTCGTGAGAATATGTTTGTATATTCTCGTGTAACATGCCCAAAAGAGTTCTACAAAAGAAACTAATTATTTTCGGCGAATAAGTTAAGCTTACATTGCCGTGAAAATATTTTAAACAAAACATAAAATCCAAATTTTAGGTATAGTTGAAATATTATTTTGAGTAATGACAAGAGAGAAAAAAAAATAGTCTCGAAACTGTTCGTAACAAAATATGAAATATAATTCCTTAGAGACAAATTATAGCCTTACACTTGCATTGTATCGACATTGGACCGTGGAGGCTAGTTTAAGACACTCAGTACCAACCGCAGTGTCGCTAAAACTTTGGTCAATCAGAGGGGAACAACGATTGAAGGAACTTCTGGCAGAAATGGGTTTACCTCTGGAACAGTCGAGACAACGATTTTCCGCCATGGATCTTGTACTGCGGCAAGAATTTCGACAAATGGTTGAAAAGTTAGCGGGAAAATACAAAGTAGACACGATTATCGGGACAAGTTTTACCCTTCAGTATGGTTACAAGTTTAAATACTGTGCCTCGGACATAGTTTATTCTATGCTCGCCGTACTCGAATCTTCCGTAAGTTGATATTTATATGTATACTTTTGACGTTCAATTTTATGAACATGTTCGTGTTATTGTCTCAATTTTCTAGTCGAAAGAAAAGTTGCCGCAGCGTTGTTTTTTGGATGCTCTCGACTGTTTATCGCGGACGAAAAAAAATATTTTAGAAAGCGGCGTAGAGAAGGCAAAAATCATGCTTAGTAGTATTTTTAAGACTGCGCAAAGTATTTTACAAATGAAGCATATCAGAAGCGCTGGTTCGTTTCTTTACATAATCATCCCCGATGGAAGTGCTGACAATTATATATTCATGCATCCGCATCCATTGGTGATGCTAGCTCAATTTATTCTGAAGGCTTACGTAGATTCTTCGAAAAACAGACGAGCACCAGAATGGCCACTTGTAGTTTCTTCGATATGTAACCCGGATAATGGTACGTGTCTTATGGTTGGTATACCGCCAGCATGCGAAGATCAGCCACGAAGGTAATTCATAGTATTCGTGTAGTCGTGAAAATATGGAGCGATTCTCTCGCTGAAAGCCACAAAAACAGTGATAGAATTCCAGTGATAGAATCACCCTGTATTTTAATTTATATTTGATTTAGTTGCAATGATATTAATTAATTTACAGTCTATTTGGAAGAGCCTTCGAACAAGCGGCTAAAAACACAAATTGTAACATAGAAGCAGACTACTTTGATACAACAAGTAAGAACTGTTTAAGAGCTGAGAGTTTTGTCATTCTACCTTTAAGACGGCAAATTTTTTAATGGTAAGTTTTTTCTTTTTCCAGTAATAAGACTGAAAATCGAGGAAAGAGCAAAATTTTTGGATGCTTTGGCAGCTCTCCTAGCATAAAATAGTTTTTAGCGATTTATTTGACATGTAAAAATAAAATTTGCCCGCCTATTATTTATTTTATAGACAAAACAGTACAAACAATGACAGCAAATGTCTTTTTAAAAAAACACGACGATAGGATGAATCTAATGTACTTTATTTCCATGCGACATATGTTGTAACTCTTCGATAAACGCGAGTTGATAACGCCCGTTTTATTATTAATGACGCGTAGCTTTAATTATATTGTAGATATGTGTATAAAGTAGAATAATTGCGATGTATATTGCGAAATTTTCATTATCATGTGATGTAGCCCATCGAATTCCAGTTCTGTCGATAAAATTAATAAGAATCAAAAAAAAAAAAAAAAATGACGGAAAAAACGCATTTGGAGAATGAAATGTAAATCGGCAAATAAAAATTGATCGTTCGTAGACGTATAATGTTAAAGCGACACTAGATATAATTTTTATACGAAAACAATTATAAGTTTAAAATGAAACTTCAATAAACTCGTACAATTTTTCATATCTATTTATTTCTCGGTTTGCAAAAGTTAAGTTAATTTTAAGACATAAAATTTTACGAAGTCGACGATTATTTGCCTGTATGGGAAACAGGATTAAATAAACACTTAGTAACTCAAGATACGTTCGACGTGTTCATTTGGCGTTCGTTAAGTAATACATTATAATATATTACCGTATTCGTGTGCGTGCGTACACTTAAAAATACAATTCGCTCAAGTTTAACTTGACTATGATATATAATACATGTCTTTTGGTTACTTCCACAAAGGGGTGTACAGATACAATACAAGCGCAATTCTGCGCGGGATCCTTCCTACTCGAAGGAGCAATGGTATCACAGAGATAGGATTGAGAAGAGAGGATGGGGTTTCTTTATTCTGTGGTTGTATAATGACCACTTATAAAACCTAACTGCTCCTTCCTTCGCACGTATGGTTTTCAATAATTTGTATAAAATCATCCGCGATAATTCCAAAGTGTTCAAGTAGAAATGTGATCATTTTTGACTGTTTTGTGTACCGCGGCTATTTTGTTTATAGGCAATTTGTCGTTACGAAACCCATCGACGAATTGTTGTACAGAGTCCACAGTTATTTCGGCACCATCCTCCATCACGACATAAATTCCTCGCGGTATGTCGATCGCCGTTAAAAGGGGCACGGCGTCGTCCAAACCCACAAATTCGCGGAGGATATCCGACGTTTCACACTGCGATAAAAATAGATTGCTATAACTTCAATTAACTATATCTAAAACTCAAGAGATTCGTGGATCTATATTTATTAGGATTTTCTCGTCGTTCCGAGGTGTAGACCATTCTTGTAAATTTGCTTTACGTACTGGATTAATACTTACATCTAATGCTATATAAAACTGCAAAATATCATCTGGATCATCGTAATTTGGATCGTAGTCAGGTCTATCTTTTCTGTATGCCTGTGCAGCTGGCAATAATACGCTCTCTGCGAATTGAATCTCACAGTCTTCGCCTTCTGTCGATACATACCGTGATAAAAGAATATAACGCTTTTAAAAAATATTACATATACATATTAAAAAAAATGCTTTTAAGGGAACTTACCGACGAACAATATTATTGCCGGTGCGTCGTGCAATGAAGTAGCATATTTCTCTGTTAAAATATTCACCAAACAACTGGTCCAAGGAAAATTCTAAAAGTTCAATACATGTCTTTCAATACTCCTGCGTAAAATAAAAAAATAAATTGCATAATTTTTCAGAGCAAAAAAATGTTTTGAAAAAAATATGGTTAGTTTATTTTCAATGTTTCATCGTAAAACACATTATCGAGAATCAACTTGTGTTTCTTAAACTGCTCTGGAAGATCACGCAGCTTAATAAATCTCTCGTAGAAAGTTTTTGTTTACCAGTCCTTCAGGGTCCTCGATCAATTCCGCTCGACCGTCTAAAGTTATAATATTATCGCGGGGATCGAGTATCACTAAAGTGGGTATTGCTTGTACGTCGAGAGCTCTCGCCAATTTTCGTCGTCTTTCTTCCTGACTGAACGGTATCCTCAACCAAGGCATCGATTCAATATAAACGTTATAAGATTCCTCGCTCCTGGTGGCACAAAAATTTACATCTTCCTTAAATCTCATAAGTCGGGATTATTAGCTCTATTATTATTAGTATCGTCGGTGCTATTATTAGTTAAATTCTAATAATTTTACAGTTCGATTTTCTATTCTTTAACGAGCAAAATAACTGATCAAATACGACCTACCTATCAGAACTCACAAAGATCACCTCGAAGTTGTGGCCTCTTTCCCGAATTCGCTGATAGGTGTCCACGAGTTGTGGGGTAAATGCTTTGCAAGGTGGACACTAATATAAGCAACAGAAATACGTATTACCCCTTATTGTTTCTAATTTTATCACGTTATAGAAGTTATTACAATAAACGGAAAGTATATATAATTTACCCAATGCGCGCTAAAATAGACACCCTTAAAGCAATGGCGTAGCTCCTCGTGCAACATTGGTTCGTTGCTACCGCGAGCTCCGCATGGTAATAATGGCCCATCCTCGAGAGCTGCTTTTGGATGAGGCGGTTTCCAAGGGAATTCAGCTCCAGTAGAATCGCCAATGGTACGTTCTACGCCCCCCCTGGTTACCACCGAGCCGTTAGAACCGTCCAATAAAATTAATGTCGGCACACCAGCCTTTATCCGATACCTTCGAGTCAGCCTGGTCTGTAAAAAAGATACTTGATCGCCTGTAAGAGTATTTCAACATCGATCACAATGATCCTTGAAGATTCTTCATCAATATTCGACCGTGAATACTTTGCTTTGCATTGCAATACATTTACAATTAATAATCGTGACTTTCAATCATGGTGTTATCACAATTGCAAATCTTTAAACCGTTTAAAAACTATCTGATTGTCATGTAATTTTATCGTGGCAAATGTAATTAGATTACATTCTGAATTGGTAGAATGCAATCGGTGATGCGTATTTTACGTAGCAGACGTCCACTATTGTTTAGGTAAGTTTTTTCTCGTCGACCTTACGTCGAGTATCAGCGTCAGTTCGACGAAATAAGATACAGCAGTGACCACCATAGGTGTCAAGTTACATAAACTGACTACTGTTCGCAATATATTTCACACAACGGTTATAGTAATGGTACAGTTTAGTGTGTTACATACAGGGTGTTTGGCCATCTCCGAGAAAAGTTGTAATGGGAGATTCTAGAGGACAAAATAGGACGAAAATCAAGAATACCAATTCGTTGATGGAGGTTTCGTTAAAAAGTTATTAACGTCTAAAGTTCCGCCTGTACTGAATTTTTTTCTCGAAAATGCGCAGGATTTCGAGGGTATGTTTATTCACCAAAAATTATTGCAATTGACCCCCGGAACCAGAATTAATTTTTTCAGAATGATTTGAAATTTTTTAATTTCGCCGAAAAATTTAGGCACCTGTCGATTTTTCTTAAAAATTTGGTTTTGATTTTTAATAAATTTGTTTGACGTTGTATGAAAATGTTGTTTAATACTTTTTTGTAGGTATCCATGGGCTCTACATCAGAAAAAAATTTTAATGAAATATATTCACTATTGTAGGAGTTATGGCTCCTTAAAAATTGGTCCATCTTTATGAGGCTTTTGTCAGTTTTCGGGGTGAAGGAGCAACTTTTTGAATATTCTTAGAATTTCTGCATTATTTTCACCGAAATACACGTTGTTTGCACTTTGAAATATTAAAATTGTTCAATCCGTTCAGGAGTTATGGTGTTTCAAAGATTTGCATGAAATTTCGGGGAACCATTTCAGGTCTCAGATTATATTTTCGGTAAGGAATTTATTTCTCGAAAGTGAGTAGGATTTCGGGGGTATGTCCATTGACCAAAAATGATGGTAATTGACCCTCGCAACCAAAAATAATTTTTCCAGAACGATTTGACACTTTTTAATTTTGCCGAAAAATTTCGCACCTTCTCGAATTTTTTTCTCGAAAGTGCGTAGGATTTCGGGGATATGTGTATTCACCAAAAATGATTGTAATTGAGTCCCTCAGCCAAAAATAATTTTTTCAGAATGATTTGAAATTTTTTAATTTCGTCAAAAAAATTCACGTTCTCGAATTTTTTTCTAGAAAATGGGTAGGATTTTGAGAATATGTCTAATCACCAAAAATGATGGTAATTGACCCCCGCAACCGAAAATAATTTTTCCAGAACGATTTGAATCTTTTTAATTTCGCCGAAAAATTTCGCACCTTCTTGAATTTTTTTCTAGAAAGTGTGTAGGATTTCGGGGATATGTGTATTCACCAAAAATGATGGTAATTGACCTCTGCAACCAAAAATAATTTTTCCAGAACGAATTGAAATTTTGCAATTTAATTTTTTAATAACTTTTTAACGAAGTCTCAGTCAAATTATATTCTTGATTTTCTTTTCATTTTGGCCTCCAGAATCTCCCATTAAAATTTGTTCCCAGGGATGGCCGAACACCCTGTATAATGTGAAATTCAAAATGGAAGATCGAAGTAATGGGAACAAATGTTTTTAAAAGATATTGGAAGAAAATTGCAATATTCGACGATTGGTACTTCGAATTAATAACAGCGATTCTTCACGATTTTATAAAATTTCATTTTTTGGACACGAAAATGACTGTCTGAATTCAGCTCGCGCGTCGTGCGAGTATTGACTGTAAGAGAAGGAGAAAAATAATCGAAACCCATCAATTTCAGGAAGCGTGAGCGGAATACGAGCGATAAACGAGTGCGCCTGTATGTGCACCGTAAATAATTCGAAACACGTAGCGCGGTTCTGTTTCTTCAGTTATCCTTCCCGCGCTACAAAATTCAACCACGGCAAAAAGGGCGCAACGAGTGTCTACAGGGGAGCGTAATGTCTGCTGACAATGAGTACTATCCCTTCTGCCCAGCTGCATGATTACAGCGGCACAAGAGGCGAAAGAAGGGAAGGGCTCGAGTGTGATATTAGAAACTGGTGGAAAGGTTCTCGCCGCCGGTAAAGATAAGGAAGGATAGACACGCACGAAAATACTACAGAGGGTAACCAGACGCGGGTAAATTTCTGTTTCTTCGTAGATAAGCAATCAACCCCTTTCAACGCCCATGTTTGAACGGAGGAAACTATTACCGACTTTCAGGAACGGCCAAGAAAATGTCTCTCTTTCGGCAAGATGATCGAGAATGGAGTCTTGCCGATAATAGGACCGACGTCTCTTCTAACAGGCTGCACCGGTTACAGCGGCGACGGCCGTGGAAACAGACAACGACGATAGGAAAGCGAGAGAAGCTTCTGTTCCGTTAAAGATAATGGAGACCGACCCAACGAGACTACGAGCCCCGTGGAATTTCTTTTCAGTTTG